AGCGTGGAAAGGGCGCTGGCGCCAACCCTGGCGGCCACCAGCCGGCTGCGGCAGGACTCCGCGGGCATCCCCAGCTTCAGCGCCAGGAACTGCCACGTCGCCCTCATTAGCGTTAAAACCAACCTCCCCAGCAGGTGAGTCCCGAAGCCAGCATTCAGAATTCCTAGGAGCTCAGCAGCAGCACTGTTCAGCCCTTCAGTCTCCAGGTGCGGGTTTCTACAGAGCACTAATGCTTCTCACTGTTCATTTTTTCCACTGAGAAAAACAAAACCTTTCGTGGACAAATTTAGGCCAGCTCTAGCTGTGTTCTTCCACGCCACGTCCATCTTTGGCATCAGCCCTCGCTGAAGTGCCGTCCTTCTGGGATCTCAGAGATGCTCTTTGGTGTGAAAAGCTTTACCTTTGTTTAAAGCCAGAAGATGGCATTCTTGAGAAAAGGTTTCTAAAGAGAGAAAACATCTTTTATTAGACATCAGGCATACTTTGGCCTAATCCACACCAGACATTTCTTCAGCACTTGACTTTCTTGCCTCTTGATCTTTAGTAACTAATTATTGCTGTGTGCATAACGATGGTGTGAGCCGACGTGTTGTCTCTGCCCAGCATGCTGCCCAAAGTCTTGAGCAAGTTTCTGGACAGCACCCTGCAGAAAGTGCTGCCGGGTCTGGTAAGTCCGATCCTCCTCCCATCCTCGTTTCCCAGAGATCATCTCCTCCTCCTCCTCCCCGCACTGCAACAGGTTTCACAGTTTTGCCCCACAAAGCAGCTTGCAGCCTGGTAAAAGGGAACATTTTGGAGAATTACTGGTTTCACGCAGTCAACCACCGCAGTGAAGGCACTGTCACTGCCTAAAGCCTCCTCGTCCCAGCCCGGCGGTTAGGGATGCGATGCTCGGGCAGAGCTGAGCTCAACGCTGAGCACGCTTGTTGCTGAAGGCTTGCCAAAGGGCGGACCTGCAGCCTCTTAACACGTGTCATTGAGTCCTCTGGTTTAGTCAGATACACATGGTGGGGTCTGGCCATGTTCTTCGCTCAGCTTAAGGCAGGTTTACTCCAGAAGAACATAATTCAACCAGGGACAGCAAAAACTGAGGCAAGCCCTTGTCTGGGTAATTAATGGTGGGGGGTCCTGGTGCTTCAGGGTGGGGGCTGTGCGGGTCTGGCAGCCACAAAGCTCTGCTCTCACAAGAAGCCTCCATGCAAGGTTTTCTCACACCTTTCTTCTCACCCTACAGCTGTGTCCAGCCATGGATGCAGTGCTTGACCTTCTGAATGCAAAACTCACCACCATGACTTGTAAGTTGGTATCCATCCATCCGTCAGTCCGTCCATCCACCCCACCCACCGGTCTCCTTCCCTTCCCCTGGCAAGAGGAAAGCACAGCTCTGTCACCGAGGATAGACAATCTGCTGAGCCCCGACTAGGACCAGGCAGGGAGAAACCCCAGTGGGGGCCACACGAATATCCACCCCCTCCTCGGTGCAGATTAGGGAGCCTGGCACTGCAGAGGCTGGCAGGAAGGCAGGAGCCCACTGAAGCTGTGAAGGGCACATAGCACTGGTGAACCAGTGGTTTGGCACTGGTGAACCAGTGGTTTGACGCTGGTGAGCGCTCCTCCCGTGGCGTGGAGCGTGCACCTTCTGGCTAAGCATCCCTGTTTTCTTCCACGCAGCCGAGATCCCTCTTGGGACTGCTGGGACCCTCCAGTACGCTTTGCTGAACCCCCCAGAGATGAATGAAACTTTCATAGAGCTGGATTTGAAGGTGAGTGCTCCTGCCTGGCGCCGGGTCTTGGGGCAGTGATACTTCTGACATCCATTTGCTCGGAGGCTTTGTCCTTCTCGGCCTTGGGCGGCGGAGGCCTTGGGAGGGAGCAGACATTTGCTGGTTGCATTGTGTCTCCTAGCCACCTCCTCAGCTCATGGTTTCCTACGGAGTTTGTTGCTCTGCTTTGTTGCTGAGACTACAGAGCAAAGCATCCAGTATCTGCTCCAAATGCAAATCCTGGAAATGGACCTGTGCTCTCTGACACGGCTCTTCTTACTGGTGCTTTTAGACCATTCTCCACCAAAAGGAGGGCAAGGAGGTTGACCTTCCCACGGACCAACCATCTCTTGCTTCTCTGCCACCAAAAAGGGATGCTGCTACCCAGCTTATCCTGTCCGCAGACTTCTTGAGTGCTGAGCTCTCTGTTCTTCAGGCGTCCTTCAACCTGAACATCAGCAATAACATGGTGGGTGTTTTGGGCTTGAGATTTTCCTCGAGAGACCACTAAAGAAATCTACACCCATGTTCAAGGCAGATCCATGTGCTGTCTATGTCTCTTCCCTTCCCCGTGTTAACCCCCCCCACCCCAGTGAGTTCATTAATTCCCTGCCCCATCACACTTTCTCAACAGGTCCTGGGGCTTCCCCCGCTGACGACCACGATGCTGGGAGCCCTCATCCCTGAGGTGGGTGCACTTTTCTTGATTCTACTGCTCTGTGGGTCATCTCGGTAAAACTTTTATTAGCAATATTATTTAAGGGACATACTATTCAGCAGTATGGACCAGCCTGACTGACTCCCACTGACTTTGGTGAATGTCACCGATGCTGAACACCCACCATGACAATCCTCACAGCGGTGACCTGGGATGGAAAGGGAATGTCACCGCTTCGCTTTGACTCTCCACAGATTTCCAGGCTGCTGCCTCCATCACAGCCGGTGGTGGTTGAAATGCGAGAAGCGAAAGCACCAGTGGTGACGATGTCCCTGGACAAAAGCTTTGTGCAGCTCTTCAGCACTGCCGAGTTTTGGGTTTCCCCTTCAGATTCTTCTGCCGAATCCCTCTTCGTCCTGGATGTCGTGAGTTGAAGTCTTTTGCAGTTGGCAAGGGCTGAACGTGGTCACCTCTGCCCTCAGCCAGTCAACCCGCACCAACACCGGGGCGAGAGATGTGGGACAGCGGGCAGGGACCTCTGCAGGGAGGATGCCTGGCCAGGGGGTCCTGCAGGGCTGGAGCGGTCGGAGGGGGCCAGGGTCCTGGTGGAGACTCCCTTTCCGTGTCCCCTTGCAGCACAGCAACCTGGAGGCACAGTTCACTGTTGCAGAAGAAAAGCTGCAGCTCTCCCTCGCTCTGCAAAGGTAACTTGGCTGCTGGGCCCCAGTGCCACCACCAGACCGGAGTCCCTGGGCTGCTGGAGAGGCCACGCGCTGTCTCTCACCCGTGTGTTTTCAGAAGGAACCTTTCCTGTGTCCGCATGATGCTTTTATAGTTTATACTCACAGCTGTTTAAAAATAGATGAGGGTCAACGTGACATGATCCAGCTGACCTAAAACCTGTTTGGGTTTTTTGCTCTTTACGTTTGAAGAGCTGAAGCTGGTTCAGGATGGAGAAAACACTCTCGGTGGGAAGCAGCCCCTTCCCGGAGGGAGGCTGCCGGGGGAGGTTTGCTGGAGGGCAAGGTCGGGGTGAGGAGCTTGCTGAGGGCGATGGGGCAGCTCGCCCGGGGCGGCGGGAGGCGAGCGACACCGTGCCTTTCCTCTCCCTGCAGCCTGTCTCGGGTGGCCTTGGCTTCCTCCCCCCCCGGGGCGGTTGGTGTGAGTTGGGG